ACACACTGAAAGAGTCTAGTCGTACTTAAAATAAATAAATATTTTTTTATACGCCAATGTTTAAAACTTTATTTTGCACGGCGTTATTTGCAACTATAGTAATAATATTGGCAAAAAAAATATTGGAATTCATATTATAAGTTCATAAATTCAAACAAGGTATGTATAATTTTTGTAAATTTTTGCATCGTGTAAGTAAACGAATATTGCAACTCTATTACATTGGTACTTCAAGCTTCGCTTCACATTTATCTAGATGTATAATTGCGATTTGTAATTCGTGTAAGTGGGCTTCACCGTTAGTGCTGCGGGTTTAATTAGTTCCTTTTAAGTGCGTCTCGACGTTTGTCCGGGTGATTGGTGATAGTTCGAAGCGGCGGGGTGGTGGAGCGGTCGGCCGATGGTCGAAGTGGCCTCGACCACGCGGCGCCTTCCCGCCTGAATTCTTACACTTTCACCGCACTCATCTCGACGTCACTAACGTCGGATGTTCCGTTACGCAAATATCCTATGCATAGTACAAATACCACTGATCGCAGTGTTCAGTGCTGTTATGCTAAGGCAATTTTCCATTGACTAGACCCACACTTTGAAAATTGGCCTTTGGTCTATCTAGAATGTGTGCTACAGAATAGCTTTTCTGTCCGCAATCTACTATGGAAAGTCATAAAACCTCTATTAATACTATAGATTCACAATTCCAATGTGTCCAAGAAAATGCCACCGGAGCGTAAAAATCCATTATCATTCAACTACATAACCTTAAAAATTTGTTATTAAATTATAAAATTCACAATGCAACCTTTATGCCCTTACCCTTAATATTTCTTATTAACGCATGGGTTATGTAAAGACACCAAACGCCCCATTAGATTATGTTCGATTCATAATTATTCTTATAAACGTACTCTATGTATCACATGATCACAATGATATCGCCTCATGACTAGGGAAATTATAATGCTTTGTTCATAAAAGTGGGAAATATAAATATTTACTGTGACGTAATTTGAGTTGTGCATGTCCAAGTGTTTTTACTTGAAACGATTAATGTCTTGCAATTCAAATGTCGCGTATCGCAATAATATTAAGGAAAGAGCACATGAACACCTTTGCCTTATTTAGCTGCAAGATGAGCACAAACTAGTTTAAATTCCTAGGACAGAAATAACTTTTACGGGTATTTAAAATGTAGCGCTGTTGCGATGTAGATACCGAGTATTTATTTAATGAGATAAGAGACCTTTCTTTATAACAGGCATTTATTTTATGAGGCGCTCTTTATACGCTACTGGATTGCCACCGAATTTCATATACGCAATAAAATATAACATAAGCATGAGATAGAGGTTAAGTGTATATCGCTTGCATACAAGCTATGTACCATACGGGTACATAAGCCATAATGAAAAAAAAAATAATTATGCCCCATGTTCACGTATGTTGCAAAATTACTAACCGATCTAAAGGGCGGTAATAGTTCAAAAAGTCCATCAATTGTGACTCGCGGTCGTGCTTAGCGAGCCATGACAGAGCACAATGGGAAAAACTTAACGATAGCGTCGTTCGGTAGAGTAGATGAACTTCGCATCGTAAATAAATATTAAAGTCATTGGGAACTTAACAACTTGGTATTAGTGAGTTAAATTGCCTTCAAACATAAGTTTGACGTTGTACATCCAACATAATGGAGTCGTTATGTAAAAAACCTTAAAACTGAGAGTCATAGTTGGTATTTATTGAAAATGGTTTCGATTTCTCAGTAAAGTCAGTAAAGTCTATTAGTTATAGATACTATATTATGCTAAAATAAAAAAAAAGTATCACAGCCTTGGTTATAAATTACCTATCATGGTAACTTCCTAATGACTCAATATTTGGTTCTGTTGAGTAGTCAATGGATCTTTATTGAAGGTTATCAATTATTTGTATTATGTGAAAAAATATTAAATACAGTTGAAAGGTTGAATATATCTCTAGATTTTACAAGTATATAATTGTCGTATACTGGAGACAAATGGCCCGATACAACTGCTTATATAAAACATATTTTCTAAATATACACTTTTTCTTCTATAGGTAAAAGTGAAACTATCTTTTTCGCTACGGATTTTAATAAAAATTCGCCACTACACCAACGATAGTCTTTACTTTAACCATTTTACACTATAAGTACCGTATTTGATATGTTGCAAGAATAAATCAAGTATTCTAAACATATCCTTTGGTGTTTGTTTCTGAGCGGCCCAGCTCTTACTTTTACAATGGTCCACGCTAGAGAGTTCTAGAGAAACCCAATGGAAGTTGCGCTTTAATTAAATGTTGCAACTACAGTTCTGTCAATAGCTTAAATATGGTCATGGTCGCAGAGATGTTGTTGATATAGTCTTACACGCCGCATAGATTGATATCTGAAATAAATTATACTACAAGTTGTGCATCTGCGCCCATTCTTAGCAACCGCTATTATTTTTGTTGTTGCTAATGATGCTCCACTGTGCATATTAGTAGTTATGTTTGATTTACACATAAAACATTTTAAACGGCATTTATTCTATAAGTTAAAAAAATTATAGAACTGCTGCTGCCCGCGATTATGTAACATTCAGATAGAAAGACAGATTTACATATTTTATGTAAATCTGTCTTTCTATCTGACTATCTCAAGACAGATTTACATAAAATATGTAAATCTGTCTTTCTATAATTCTAAAATAAGCTATATTATTGTAAAGTTTCATTAAAATTCATTCAGTAGTATTTGCGTGAAAGAGTAACGAACATCCATTCATATATACAAACTTTCGCCTTTATAATATTAGTAAGGATTTTATTATTTTATTTATAGAATACTTATATAAATTCCTTAATTTTTAATTTATAGAATAAATGCCCTTTAAAATGTTTTCGAATTAATATCGAACTTATGTTTTTACTGCATACCCTTTTAATTGTTATCGAATTGTAAAAATCTTCTGAAATTAAATTTAGTTTCGTTTTCATCAATTTGCATAACTTATTTTTTTTTGCATTCTTTTTTTTTGAGTTTTCATGCAGTTCAACGGTGATAGAGCCACACAGCAGCCTCGGCTGTTGCACGAATAGGCAGGCTCGTCCGGGTAAGTACCACGACCTCACTGAAGACCGGCTTAAAGTGGAAGTATGACAAATACTTTTGCGTTGCGTCTGGTGAGTGAGGTAGCCGGAGCCCAATTTCCAAGAAGGTTGTCAACGCATCTGCAAACCCTAGGGTGTAGCAGATGTCCATGGGCGGCGGTATTTACTTAACATCAAGTGGATCGTCTGCTCGTTTGGCAACTTTTCACATAAAAAGTTGTATTTGTTCATTTGATTCGAAAGATCGAGATGAATATCGGCTGCATGAACTAGTTCAAGCGATTAATCTGTCGCTCGCTTTCCCTTTCTCTTCAAATATCTAATTAGGTACGGTTTGTCGACGTGCATGTAGGGTAACAGACAGTGCATATGATAACTGACGTATGCTAATTGAACCTGTCAATGTCATTACAACGTTGGCATTATTTCGAAAGTTCCGATTCCGAGAAAAAATACTTTCATACACGGCTTTATTCGTAGTGACTAAATATTTGAATATCAGAACCAACTAAGATTTTCCGTATTTACGTAGTTTTAGCATTGACATCTGCTCAAATCTGGCAATGGAGCGGTGCGCGGCCGTGAACAAGAATTATACATGAAACGAGTAAATGGTCTCTATGTAATAAATCTGTCTATGGAATTCAACAGGTTCCACGGCATTAATCAATGCGTAAAAAAACTTCGAAATGTCAGTCCTTAATTAAATCGTTGGCGTAATAAGTTTATTGACTTAACACAAAAATTAGTTGGGATTAAATTGGTTTTAAATTGACATGCAAACGAAAAAACGGGCAAGGGCGTCATGCAAAAAATTACTTTGATTTTTAGAGACTATTTTCAATACTTAAAAACAGTTTAAAATATTTTTTTTTCTATTTTACCTAGTATTGTATCTAAGTTTATATAAACTGCGTAAATTATTGTCTTTTTTCTTTTTTTATTCTACTAGACATCATTGAATACTATTTTTCCTCAGCCAATAGTGTAATAATGTTAAATCATTAACTTGAGGAAAAATGTTTTAAAAATGTAAAAGAGACCTGAAAAACGACAGAGGCCTTTTAAGGCGCTGTATGCAGTAAAAATAGGTTTTTCAAAAGATTTTTTAGCAAAATCTACACATTTTACAGCAGCAAAAAAAAATATATGTTAATCTTGAGCGTACATTCTAATGGAACATTGTTTCCAAAACATATTCTCGATATATTTTCTCGATAGTAAAAAATCATGAAACTCCCTCTAAAAGAGAAATTCAAATCCAAAAATGAACGTTATACATCAACAAATCTTAATGAAATTAATATCAGTGGTGTAGAATATATTAATAAAAAGGATTGTTGTTTTAATTTGTTGATTGATGTAAGATATTTGTAAAGATTAATTTAATTCATTCAAATTAATTCGAACGCGATGGCCAAAACACCGCGCCACCGCGGCGTTGTTTCGGCTCTCTTCCGATTCCACACGTTGAACACTGTAGCAGGAATGGGCAGGTCCGTCCGAGTAAGTACCACGACCTCACAGTAGACCGGCGTAAAGTAGAAGTGTTACACTTCTGCGTTTCGTCTGGTGAGTGAGGTAGTTGGCGCCCACTTTGTTTAAAAGTGGCAACGCATTTGCAACCCTACGGGTGTTGCAAATATCCATGGGCGGCGGTTATCACTTAACATCAGGTGAACCGCCAGCTCGTTTGCCAATTTCTCACATAAAAAAAACGTTATTATTAATATTCCAAGTATTAATATAATGTTGTATTCTCGCGAACTCGTTTTTTTTGTTTTGCATTGGATTTTTTAGACCATAGAAGACGATAAAATTAAAAAATAAACACTGGTGTATTAATAAATTAACTTAATATACAACATAATAAATGGTTTCAGATTTGGTCCCGGCGCGGCTCAGCGTAGCCATCATGCTGTTCTTCGCTTGCTGGGTAAACTACATGATGAGGGTCAACATGAGTGTCAACATCATCGCCATGGTACCAGATGATGCGAAAACGACTTCGTTAGTATTTTTCCCTTTTGTTAAAATTAATTTCATTAATGCAGAGAACAAAAATGAGGAAGTAATTGAGCCGTTTCGAGTATATTGATTAAATAGGTATTTTGAATTATTGTCATCGCTGACGACTTCCTTAAAATAAAACGAATTTTACATAACATTTAACGATCACTAGGAACGCGATATCAAATTGTTGATTTTCGAATGCTTTGTAATGTATTACACAAACATTTATAGTGGAGCAATATGTTCGGCGTATTGTTATTTTTATGGAATCCAAATATCAAGTTGCCCTTCCAAAGTTTAAGCCAAAGATTCATTGTTTTTAAGCGATACGTTTTTATATTAAATAAGTTATTTGTATGCAACCTACTGTCTTTATTAATTTTGAATTATACTTGTTCTACTGGATCTCCAATGTAATTTTTATTTAGCAATAATGTCGAGGAAATATCAAAGATGTTCACTGCTACGGACACATTTAGCAAATGGTACAGCTTCTAGGAATCAAGAATGTGCAAGGTCAGCTAGATCGTGGCGTTGTCAGTTTATTACATTCTATGTACTGTAGAAAAAGTTGACAGCTTTGAAGCGTGTAAGTACATTACAGTTATTGACATACATACATACATAATGCTATTACGTATAATTATATTATTATGAAAATATGATATGTATATGAACTTCATATCACAATAAAAAAGTAAAAAACATCGGTGGCTAATAAGGCCAAAAATCCTGCTTCTACAAATAGTAGTTTTAATATTTGTAGATATTACTGAAATGAAATCATGACATAATAAATTGATACCGATTCCGATGTTTTTAATACTAAAGTCCTACCACATTACTTCACTAACTGTGGTAGGTAGGGCCATGCAACAGTCTTCGCTGTTGCACGAATGGGCAAGTCTCACAGAAAACCGCCGTGAAGTGGAAGTGTTCTTCTGCGTTTTGTCTGGTGGCCCACTTTATAAAAAGGTGGCAACCCATCTGAAACACAACGCGTGTTGCAAATGACAATGGGCGGTGCCGGCGGTTATCACTTAACATCAGATGAACCGCAAGGTCGCTTGCCACCCTCTCACCTAAACAAACAAAAAAGCAAAATCATTACTTAATCACTTTTAAAGGTTATTTCTATGTACTTGTACATGATTCAGAGTTGAAAAGAAAGAAATAAAATTTAATACTCGCGCAGACTGAGTTGTAGATAAATCGCTTCATTTTATTACGCATTGTAATAAGTTTTTCTCATAATAATGAAATACGGCTGTTCCAAACATAGACATGCGAATCTTGTGCAGATGCCTCGAAGTATTAGGATTTCCCCTTGAGAACAATCCAGGCCACAAAAACATGTTTTTGTGAAGACGTTCGATCGGATGTCGTCACGCTGGTCTGTAGGAGCGGCGAATGAATGTAAAAAATACCAAATAATAGTGGTTACGTCATATATTTTTAGTCGTTTTCTCGTTTCTATTTAGTTTATAAATTTATATTGGCGTCCGTTAGTTCGGTAAAATATATAACTGCAGTCTGTAGCGTTTGACTGGAGAAACGAGTTTTGAGATTAATTTTTAAATACGCATGGTATAAGTACAAATAAATTGATATTCACTCAATTTTATAAATCATTTCAATATTTTTAAAATTTTAATACTATATCCAACCATATACATACTTGGCTCTACTATATTCAACCTCGGTGGCTCTGAAGACGAGATCAAGCGTCGATGTGCTATCACACGGTCAGCAGTAGAGTGATTAGGGAAGATTTGGAAAGACAGACGTATCTGTATGGGGCTGAAACATGGTCGCTTAGATTACAAGATCGCCGGAAAATCGTCATTGACCAGCACTACGAAAACCACCGGGAGTACAATGTGCTCGCATTACTAACAGCCGCCTCTAATGGAGGAATATCGCAAGACGTGCGGCTGCCTTGGAAGCGAACAGCGACGACGAGACGCAACCCTGTCCATCGACAGCCACGACCACTCTGTCAAGAGTGCCCGATTAAGAGATAAATTTCAATGAATGTAAAAAAATAGTATTTAGTTTTGTTTAGAATGTTTTGCACCCTAGTGTATCTGTTTCCAACAAAGCAGTAATACACAATTCAATAGTTATAACAGTTTTTGGTCACACTGTATCCACATCCTTTATTACATTCAAGAAGGCGACAAATAGAACGACATAGATCAGAAACAAATTACCTGATATATGTCAAAGCACATTATGTATTGTATATCTCTTTATGAAGTAAGATTATTACATCCTCGTAGATATTCCATTTTTTGCTGTTAATAAAACAAATAAAATTAAAATATGACGACATTTTGTGTTTGCATTGCAGTATTTAATATTACATTATAATAATACCACCTATGCTATATTCTTAGAATTTTTCATATGGTTCATGGTGGATTTAAGGTTTATTAACGGTTTAATTTAGTAAGGTTTTTATCGAAATGGAGTTGATGCATTGCATTGATAAATAATTTTTAGAGGAAGTGAGTATGATACAGTTTATTTCTTCGTTAAATAATGTGTATTATATATACATGGTAATGATGATAATAATAATAATAACAACAACAGATCCGATAAGTAGTTGCGTTAAATATATAATAAAATAATGATATCTTTTTAATGATCCATTTCTATACAAGCTTACCTGTTTTGCCCAGCAAGCTACTAATTTTTTTTTACATATATAATATAGTAAAAATATAACATATCAAGATAGATTTCTAAGTAAACTCCCACTTCTGAAAATTTTATTTAGGAAAAGATTACGGCAATATTATATTTCCAAAATTGAAAGAAAAGTTCCCCAGTTACAAAATAAACTTGCGTCAAAAATCGTTATGAGCACCATAACGCTGATAAAGTTATTTAGACTAAACGAAAAACTCAAGATAAAGTATTTTACTAATTATCATAACAAAGTTTCCTCTGCTTTTCCCCGTATTGCTCGCTGATAGGCAGAAAGTTCTGTAAACAAATGCGCACTTTTTAGCATAAACCGCTGCCGTGTTTACGTTGGCGGTGAAGGGTCTAACGGTACAGGTTACCAGCGCGTTCGTTATCGTCACATTACTCACCAACGTCATACCCCGCGAAGGTCTCCTCGATAAGATGAAAGGTGCGTATTCTAGGTTTTTATTTCAAGACAAATCACAGATACACACAATCTTCGCAAGTCGAATGCCGAACTCGAGGTTACTCGAGGCAAGGTAAGAAAGGCAAATCAGTGATTTTTCGTCGTCATGGCTACCAAGGCTGGTTCATCGCTTTTAAAATATTATTTTTATATTTTTACATTTCGTTAAAGTTGGTGTTATTAATAGTTAAAACAAAACTTAGTTATGGATAAAAGTACGTAAACAGAGTCCAAAAGGGGGAAAATTGTTTTAGATGTGAATGCATAATTTTATTTTGGAACAAAATTTCCATTTACCGAAAATATTGTAGGCATGTAAATCTAGGCTTCATTACTTACTTACGGCTTACTTACCCTACTTTACTTACCTTACGGATAATTATCCTTTAGTATTTTAAGGTTCATACAAAGTAAAACAGAGGTTTAATTGTTTATGATGGAACGGTATGGAACGGAATGGAATGAAATGGTTAACAGCTAGTTTCAACATTCTATATATCTGTACGGTTACTGGCGGTAAGTATTTGCCATTAGCAATTAGCATAATACTTCCGTCATAATATATCAAGTAACCAAATCTACATATTCATGGAATAAAGAATCCGGCCCAAAGTCAATGCTCATCAAGTGTTTAGACAATGATTAAAGTGATTCAAGACAATGTTTCACTTGTGAAAATGTAGGTACCTACTACTGGTATTATCTTAGTAGAAATATCAAAACCAAGTTTAAAATTTTAACACGACATTTATAATTTTAAAAACATTTATGTATAGCAGTTAATTTAAATAGTTGTGTTAGCATTATTGTATTTTATTAATCGGTGACTGAACATGGTACCGTGTCAAAATTTCGCACGGGTCAACTAGTTGAGCTTAAACGCTTCGCTTTCGAATTGAATTACATATATTATTTTATTTGATTGTTTTAGAACAATTTCAATGGCAATTCAATTAAAACCAACGACTACAACGCAACGTCTGAATGACAATCATATTGTTTCGTGCCTCGATGTTAGAGTGTCGACCATGGCTCTGCACCGTAGCCCTGTGAAATTTGAAACGATTGTAAGCAGACCTGAGTTAAGAAACATGGCCACTCGCTTCATTACATTCAGTCGTTGCGGGGATTTTCCATGAACTTATGCCTATTTGAAGTGATATATGCATTTAATGTTTACATGATCAATGTTAAGTAAAAATCTTTCATATTTAATGGAGTCAACGAGGCGTTGGAAAAATCAGGATGTTTATTTTTCTTTGTTCGGCTTATAAAATATTCGATTAAACAAACTTGTCTGTTCATGGACTTGTTTGAATAGATTTTTATAACAAAGGGACGTCACAATACATATTCAATTTAAGTTTCCCTTAACTCAGGTAATTTTAGTTCACGATGTTAAGTTAGCTTGCTGTGATAACAGCAGAACAGAATAATAATGCTGATAACCATTATTATTCTAGACAAGTGTAATTTCAATTTTCAACCAACAGTAACTAAAAGGAAGCAAGTCCTATCTCACATAATTTATCGTGTTGAATATCAGCAGTTACTTACTAAGAACTCTGTCCAATTTCAACTGTTATTAGTGCGTTTATAATATCAAACTACTAGCACTGTTATTGTATTGTCCGCAGGGTAAAAAGCGAATGCGAGGCCATCGCTAATAACGACAGCTCATTGTATAACTTCAGCACCACGGTGGTGACAAAGCGGCAGTTACGGCAGGTAATCATTTAAACGGACACACACAAGTATACACACCATTAAGACATGAACACATTGAACTAAGTAAATATTGTTTAACCAACAACTCCGTTAACGCAATTTCTACTGATTATCTTTGTTAGAAATTTGTCATCCTTGTTTTATCAACAAAATTCAGTGGAAATGTTCTTGTTTTGATGTATTTCCAACAACATCCATTCGAATCGCAACACAGCGCACATTCGTAAAACAGCGACCTGAATATTTAAAGCGCTCCAACAATGCGGGCTGATATTGTTCTTTGCAGCTGGTTACACATTAGTAGCACTGAACATATAATTTTAATACTTTTCATTAAACGTTTTGTAGTCATTTCTACGTTCACTTATTTCGCCTCAGGAACCATTCTCCAAAATATTTTGTCCAAACATACTTCGATGTAATCTACAATAACACGCCAACTGATGCCAAGATACGATTGTGGGATTTGAGGTGTCAATATTTCTTATCTTTTAGTATAAGTTGCGTGCGATACGATAAACAAAAGAAACCATTAAAGGGTGGTAGTGTTAGAATAATAAATGCAATATTTGATCAAGATAAAAATTTTGCAGTCTTTATTACGCACAGACCAACACACTATACCTTACCTTAAACATTTGCACAGAATCATACTAATATTTGTAATTATAACGAAAAATTTATTTTTAACCTTCATGTGAACTAACTCTTTTGAAATATTTATTAATATTAAAACTTTATATGATAACTAGCTGACCTGGCAAACGTTATTTTGCCATATAATTTAAAAAAATGTTTTGGGGTGGACCACCCTTAACATTTAGGGGGATGCAAAATACATGACCCTGGCCGACATGCACACAAAATTTCACGAAAATCGTTCGAGCCGTTTCGGAGGAGTTCGATTACAAACACCGTGACTCGAGAATTTTATATATTAGATTATAATCACCAGGATTTAGTTTTGTATAAAGAAACGTTATATGGTTTAGAAGGGGTTAACTTCAACATTTTCAGCCTGAAGGCGTTGTCACTTTCAACTGGACAGCGCAGCAACAGGCGTATGTGCTGTCGGGCTATTTCTGGGGGTACGCCATCACTTGTTTGGTCGGGGGCACGGCCGCTGAGCTATGGGGGCCGCGGAATGTGGTGTTCATCACGATGCTGATCAGCGCTGTCCTGACAACGTTGTCACCGCAGGCGGCGCGGTTGCACTATTTGGTGTTGGTAGCCGCTCGCTTCGTCATCGGATTGGCAGCGGTATGTTTTTCGAATTACAGCCTTCGCTGGTAATCGCCTGTTTGTTTTATCAATCGCACTTCAAGTCGGAAGCCGCCGAATTAATATTTTTTTTATTGGACTACTATTAAGAGGCTTTTTGTTTGGCAATAAAAGACGGTCTGCTTGAATAAATAGACAAGTTACGGAGACCTAAGATTTACAAATTGGGTATGAAATAAAGCGGCTTAATTTTTGTAATTAAACGTGTAAAACCTTTAAGGTTTCATACAATCGGATAATATTAAAAGTACCGAATTATGAACATGAACATATGATCGTTATTGCCACGTGGAAATGTACCGTATGCATTTAGTAATGTCGCAGCAAATTCTCATAAATAGCGTGAGCACATATTTGCGTGATGTTATTTGCTATGCTTGATAACAACAGAGTATTTGATTGTAATTTACAATAGCAATAAGTGCTAGAAGTCTTCTGAATGAAAATGCTCCCCTTTTTGTATGGAAGCGAGAACATGTTACATGCACATTAGGTGTTTTGTGTACGTATGTTACATTTAATATAGAAAATAATATTATATCGCTGTTTAGCACAGATTTTCGCACTGGAAAATCTTATCTTTTGGTATTGACTCTTTGGAAAAAATTGTAAGCGAATTTTATCCACGTTATTTAGGGCATGGTAAATTTAAGCATTCCTTTGCGCCCATTAATCATATATAAGTATGTATGTTCGTGGCTATTTTCTATGAATTTTTACGATATTTGGATGGATATATCTAATATATATTATTGTGTTTCAATGATCGATATGATTATATGCGTATGATTATACCAGTACCTATCCCGTCATAAATGCAATCTACTCGCCCGACTTCCTGCATGTGAAAAATCCCATATCTTATCCTTTAAACGAGCAATTTTTGTATATATATATATATATATATAATCGGAATCTCCGAAACGGCTCCTGCGATTTTCATGAATTTTAGTATATGCGTAGATTTGGGGGCGAAAAATCGATCTAGCTAGGTTTCATTTTCAGAAAATGTCCTTTTATCCCTGTTTTCAGGGAATGAAAAATATCATTCGAATATGACGGTAAATTTCGCCGCAAGAGAAAATGTCATAATAGCTCGGTCGGTAATCGGGCGGCTCCAAAACAGAAGGCCGTGGTTCGCGTCACCATCATTTACACATTTATTTTTTTACTTTTTTTTCGATTCCAGATCATTGCTTTCTTTATTTTTAATTTTTTATCGATTTCTTTATTTGTTATTTTTTTCCCTTTTTTTAAAAGTTCTTTCTTTTGAGAAAAACATCAGTTCATATTTTCTTATTATTATGTCGGTAAGATCGAAAAATATTATGCATATTTCATTACTCAGTAATTTGTATCTAAATGTAATTTCCAAAATACACGATTTACCAAAAAAATAAACAAACCGAGCAAAGCTCGGTCCTCCGGGTACTAGTTATTAATTACTGAAAAAAGAGCGTCGTTACTTTCGTTATATCAACCGAGGTAGTTGGCGGCTTAACAACTCCGTTCGACGGAAAGGAAATAAATCAAATGTTTGGGTCATCAGATGAAATAGTTCTTGCTCATTCTTCCAGGGCTTTCTGTTTCCCGCCCTCCACGCCTTGGTCGCGCATTGGGCGCCTCCGGCTGAGAAGGGGAAATTCGTCAGCGCACTTTTGGGGGGCGCCATTGGAACTGTTGTCACGTGGTCACTCACCGGGCCCTTAATTGAGAACTTCGGTTGGGATTACGCTTTTTATATTCCCGGTAAGTTGATTGAATAGTTTTTTAATATATGTTCATATTAAACTTCATAAAATACTTATTTCGTTTTTTTAGCTTAATTTAAATCTAACTCACCGTCAAGGAACCGGGTGGTCTGCTAATCTAGTTTAAATTTAACTTGATAAAATTCATAAATAAGTTGATTGTATTTGAAAGCAATTTCGATAATAAAGAGATTTAAATATTTCATACTATATTACTTTTATTTTCATTATGACTTTGGATATCATAAAGCCATTCCGGTTAAGTAGCACTGACGTTCTCTAATTCGATGTAATTCTGAATAAGAGTGCGCAGTGTTCCTGATAAATTAATGTTACTATGTTGCCAAATTCTTTCTGCGGTTGGCCCTTTCCTAGACCATATAATCGTTGATGTTCTAAAGTATATGCGTAGACTCCATTAGGAATACCAGACCATAACTGCAAATAGGCTTTCTTCCGTATTTAAATTCCATGCGTACGTGTGCAGCTGATTTCTAAATTGTTTCATATACTGTCTCTTTACACTTTCTCGTTTAGTTTATTTTAAAAGGAGAAATTGATCCAAATGTTCTTATAGGTATAATCGCAATTGTCTGGTCCGCTTTCTGGTGGTTCCTGGTGTACGATTCTCCCGTCAAGCATCCGCGCATCTCCGACAAGGAGAAGAAATATATTCTAGATGCGATCGGCGATAAAGTCACCCAAAGCACAAAGGACAATAAGGTTTGCAATTTTTCCAATCTTATTAAATATGTCGTTATTTCTAATAAGTAATGTTATTTATAAATTCAGTTCCTACGTAATAAATCCGACCGATTTCTTGGAGAACTTGTCGTTATAATAAATTATGAGAATGTGCTAGATGTGTCGTTATGTTCTTAGCTAGGCCCTCATAGCAGTTAAAGCTATTAGGAATTTTAATTATCGTCACGTTATTAAAGCGAGGTGGCGGCTGAAATACTTAGAATTTAATATCGTGATAAATCTTGTATTGTCATTACTTAGTGATTCCTACTGCATTAAAGATGAATCGGTGAACGATCATGCGAAGTTACGAGCGGATTTCAAAATTTAAATATTTCTAGAGTATTCTTCAAACGTTCTCTAAGAGTTTCAAAGAATAAATTAAATATTAATTTCGCATTTATTAATTAAAGATAAAGACATCATAGAAAATAATATTTTGCATTTTCAATGTAAAAGAATTAGAAAGCTTAAAATTTGATATGTTTATAAATAAAGGGTTTATTATGTAAAAGCCGTGGCCGTTTCATCCTATAGTAAATCAAGTATTTCCTTGACACAAAATATCTGGATGTGATATAATCATAACGATCAGTTGCGTGTCAATGACACGATAAGGCTATGGACACGATTTCGTATTTATAATATTGAAAGCTTGGAGGCTATTTCTCTTAAAACATTTTGTACAAGAGACTATCAGATTTAATTTATTCATCATATTAACTGAACCTTTCTTATAATGAGTTGTTAAACTCGAAATTTCGAACGCATTCCTACGGGCTAGTCTCTGACTGGTAAATTTAATTAACCTTCCTTAGATTCTATTGCCTAAATACAACGCCGCCATTCCGTGCTTCGTCACCAGATTGTACCGCCGTTCTGGAAGATTCTTACATCATTCCCCTTCTTGGCTATGGTCATCCTGCACTACGGCAGCAACTGGGGCCTATACTTCGTGATGACTGCCGCGCCGAAGTTCGTCTCGAGCGCCTTAGGATTCAACTTGACGTCGACCGGAACACTGTCGTCTTTACCCTATTTGGCCAGGATGATCTTCTCGCTGATCTTCGGCGCTATCGGTGACAGGTCAGTCTAAATGTTTCTTTAATAATTATAATAACGTAATATATTTGTTTACATTTATCATAATATTCAGTACTCCTCACCGGACGAAATGCAAAAGTATGAATTCTCTGTCATTACGTTGTTCTTCAGTGCGCCCGTGGGATTAACCTCGACAAGACGGCAGAAATTCTGCATCGCTCGAAAACTACAAGTTATCGTTTAAGATATTCATATGTATATATTGCTTCTTTATAATTGTCATTATATGGAGCCAAACCAAAATAAAAAAAAGTATTTAACGCTACAATTAATTTCAATTACAGAACCATATTAATTAAATTTCCTTAAAAGCTTAATCCAGCATGAGAGAAAATTTCGATTAATATTAATTTTTAATTTTAATCTTCCAAGATAATATATCACAATTCTATCCCACATGAGAGCATGCGCTGCCTTCCCCAAGGCAGTGGCTCGTACTGCCTCCAATGAACCTTTGGTAGTCTACGGACTAAAATCAGTTATATAAAGATAAAGAATTTTATGCATTCCATTAAATCCAAGTAATTAACGCGCATTCTATTCCGATAAGTCTAAAAGAAAACAATAACTTCCGCCTTTTAACGCAGACCAAATTTATTATTCAAAAGTTATTTCAAGAGACTTCAAAAAAGAAGGTGGTTTTCAATTCGGTTGTATATCTTTTTTTAAGTTTGTTACATTACAACTCAGTTATTCATAAACCGATTTTATTTCATTGGGTTCGGTTTGCTCGTGGAGATCCCATATTCATTAATTTTGAACCTTATACTCCATTGATACATCAGAGAAATTCTCAAAATCAAATAGAAAATGTGTAGCGAATGACATATTTTAAGTCGGTATTGTTTTTTGTTACTAACAATGTTTTATCCGCATGAATAAAAATCAATCCTTAAAATGTAAGACCAATGTCGACATCTTTCGGTAAAAATGCGCATCTCTGCAAGTTTACAAGTCTTTTTCAGAGATCGCCTAGACGCGATTCATGGTGAGTGAGAATATTTGAAATCGAAATCGTTTTGTTTTTGAAGTGCTGACTTTATCACGTGCTCAACGATGAAGAAAAACATCGTGAGGAAACTTTCATATTTTCGAAATACTTAATACCAAAAATATTTCTAATATATGTAAAGTCCGCCAATCCGCAATGGGGTCGCGTGATGGACTATGCCCTTATACCCTCTGTACAGGGGAGACCTTTGCCCTGTAGTGGGACATAAATATAGGCTGTTACTTTACTTTTTGTTTTGGTTACTAAACACGTTTTTATCGTACCATGTATAAGCGTATTCCGCGACTCCAGATCGAACGACACGACGTGTAAGCGAACCCTTCGTTCTCAGGATCGTGAGGCAGAACGTCGTGTCGACGACGTTCATGAGGAAGTTCTTCTGCCTGTTCTCGCACGTGGTGCCCGGGCTGCTGCTGATCGGACTCGGGTACACGGGCTGCGCGCCCATCCTCTCGGTGGCGCTGATCACCTTCTCGATGGGCTCCAACGGGGCGGCCACCCTCACCAACCTGGTGAACCATCAGGACCTGGCGCCCAACTTCGCGGGCACGCTGTACGGCATCGCGAACGGCATCGGCAACACCGCCGGCTTCGTCACGCCCTTGGTGACCGCCCACTTCACGAAGAACGGGGTGAGTGGTTTGTTTATGTTGTAAACCGTACCACGCAATGGTATTCACTGTTGCACGAATGGGCAGTTAATCCGGGTAATTACCAAGACCTCGTAGAAGACCGGCGTAAAGTAAAGTGGGCGGCGTAAAGTGTTACACTTCTGCGTTTCGTCTGGTGAGTGAGGTAGCCAGGGCCCACTTTATTTAGTGTTACTACGGGTGTTGCAAATGTCCATGGGCGGCGGTTATCACTTAAGATCAGGTGAACCGCCAGTTCGTTCGTCACTTACCATAGGGTGAGATGGCAGTCAAGCGTTGGCCAGTTTCGAATTAAAACATAATTAATTATAATATCATCGTCATATTATGTGTATTAATGTGAATCATTTATTAATGGTATTCTTGGCCATGTATGAGCAACGACAATTGTTAAATATGTATGCGTATATGTTTATTTTACTTTTTCATTCTTTAATATTACTTCCAATTTATTGACTTGGTTTATCTGATAGAGAATGCAAATTAGCATTTATTAACGACAAATAGACGCAGGGGTGGACCAATTTGTAATCCCTTTTAAGGTTCTGCAATAAGGGATTAAAAAATATATCAACTAAATATATTCGACAAGTATATAGTTTGATAATGATAAAAGCGTCGTTATTTTTGTCATTTTCTTCAAATAAAGTTATAATAAAAACGTAGAGACAAATCGACAGGAAATCAATTCACAATTGTTTTCATCCTCATCATCATTTAAAACTATAATCGTCCACTGCTGAACATAGGCTCACTTCAGGAATTTCTACTTCGACCGGGCGGAGTAGAAATCACGGGATCTGTATCACTCCAAAAATTGACTTTCATCGACAGCTAAATATCATTAAAAGAAAATCTCGTGAGTGTTTCGATACTAAATGCGACTGCCGCTAAAATTCTTGCTCCGCCAATCGCAGAACGGGTTCGCGGAATGGCGGCCGGTTTTCCTCACGGGTGCGTCGCTGTACATCGCGTCCGCCGTCTACTTCATATTGTTCGGCACGGGCGAGACGCAGGATTGGAACTACGTGGCGGCGCCCGATGACGAGGAACAGGACAAACGGCCGAGCGCCAACTCCACAGACTCCACCGTCACGATCCCAGTCAAAGCGTAAGCGACGTCTGTTCACGTCGGAACGCCGCACTCAGAGTCGTCATTTAAACTCAACCAGCGTTAAACCCAAGACCGAGACATTTCGCAGTTGAACGAATTTATTGCTAGTTAAATAAATGACGTCTATTATTCCGTACGTTTAAGTTTACACAGCCGCTAATAGCAATTGTTTTAAGCGTCGTGTATGTCAATAAGTTATGTGCCACAAATGTATCCGTATTCATGTGTCTTGTGTTTTTACAATTACATTATAAGCGTAGTAATTAGTACGTAAGTATACTGACATCTGTAAGTAAGGTGAGTTTGGACAGCCAATTTATTGCTCAGTGTTTTAACTAAACTTAACAAAAAATTTGATCGGTTTTAGGTTTATTTTGTAGGCAGAGTGTTGTATCCAATGATATCGTGAATTTTCATTTGATAAGATTAAATTGAACTGTGATGAATTGAAATGTGAAAGAGATAAAATCACGCAAATTATAAAAAATATAAAAAGCTACAAAAAGTTATAAGGATTTGATGGTGAAATAAAGTTTTGTTTTTAGTTTAGTGTAATTTAATTATTGATTATATTATGTATTACTATTTTATTATTCAAGAAGTTTATGACTGTGATGAATTGCGTAAATGAATGAAAATTAATTTGCCAATTAAATTATTGAAATATAATTTTTTTTTACTTTTACTGATATATCCTATTATTATTTACATTTGCCAGTTCCTACAGACAGCTTGAGGGAAAATATGATCTTAAATATATGAACTAGGATATTTAATTTGTAACGCTAAATTAGGAAAGGTTTCATGGCGTCAGTAGAGATGCGCAGCAATGACCAATTGAATATGAGTCAAGATCCTCAGCAGTGAGGTAACGACTAAGAAGAGAAAGATGGAGAACGTCAATAGACACCACATAAGATATCAAAACATTAACACTTGCTTATACATTAACGTTACAAAAATAATTAAGACTACGTGTACCAGATAATTCACAAAGTTTAAACAATTACCTTTGTCTATACTAGAAAAAGGTAAATAATGAAATACAGGTGTCCATCAATAAACATATTAACGCTGGGAATTTGGCGTTTTCTCGTGAATACAATCACGCTGCATTTCGGGAATGATAAAGATAATAAACCCTTAATTGCCAAGACACTTAAAAATCTTAAAAATGAATAAATTAATGCAAAGTAAATTTTATCAACAACATAACTTAATGAGGACGAACCACATAAGGACGATTTAAATGAGGTAAAAGAGAAAGCATGGGGCTTCATCTGGTTCTTTTCCTGGTTTATGAATAGAAATGATGATTTCTCAAGAGTTTTCCAAGGGTCAGCAATAATGATGAAGGTTGACGCTTGGCGACTAGTTTTTTATATCATTTCAACGGTACACGTGCCTATGGAATTTTAGTTCATTACATTAGGTGTTGAGATTACAACGAAATTAAAACAAAAAGTTAAAATACAATAAAACAAAATGCTCATTACAAAACATACGTTTTAATATCATTAATTTTAAGTGATACAGAGAGGTACAATTTAATATACACTATGTACATAGAATCTATATTTATTCTCTTTATATCAATATAATATTTTATTAAAAACTCTTAAGAAATAAATGACACAAATAGATAAAGTAACGCGTGCTAACGACAACAACTAATCAGTTAGTATATTTTCAAAATTTTATAACAATAGTACCTACAGCTACGATAAAAAAATTCTCAAAGAGCGTAATGTTTATACAACATATCGATTTATACATAATACCGTTATTAGTTTGCAAACTATTCTTACGTCTTTGGAATTACATCACCAAAACTCAGGTTATGGTCACACACATAAGAGATTTTCAGGCGGGATTGACGAGACTGCTAACAATAAAATAGGGCTAACAACGTTCACAACATACGTATCAATAATGGTAATTAACGCAACCATTTGCAACGCGTAATTAAATATGCGATCGACTGATCGAGCGCCACCGCAGCGTGTATCTATTGCACCGTGGACCGATAATAATTAAATAACAGCGGCACAACGCTCATACGTACGACTCGGATTCAGTGTCGGATTCCGAGCATTCGAGGGCCATCACGTTCTTGTCGTTGCCGCTGGGCGGCTCCCTGTATAGGGGCGGCACGGACTTGGAGCGGGACGCCTTCTCGTCCTTGCTGAGGTGGACCGGCTGGAACTTCTTCAGCACCCGCTGGTAGACCATCTTCCTGGGCGGCACGGGCGGTGCGTGCGGCGGCTTCTTGTCGCCCGCCTCCGCCGCCTCCTGCACGGAGGTGGGCGTCGCCTTGTATATGTCGGACGCGTACGCGCCGGCGGGCTTGCCCTCGTGGAATATGTCCCGGCGGCGGTTGTACACGGACGTGTACAGCGGCTCGATGTACTGGGTGGTGTAGCAGCCCTCGCAGTTGGCGGCGGGCGGGAAGCCCTGCTGGTGGTCTGTTTGGGCGATGGCCGCGAGGGATTTGGACTGGGTGAGCTTGGTGTAGTTCCGTCGGTATTGCTTGTCGTCGGCGTTGTGCTCGTCCGCGTACGAGTATGGCGCGTTGGGCTTCTCCTTGTCCCTGTTCGCGCTCAGCAGGCAGCCCTTGGTGCACACGTGCGCGGGGTCGTACCGCCTCCTGCGGCAGCTCGCCACTGCAACGTCGTAGTTGCCGTTGCGGGCCCTCTCCCCGCCCGCCGCGTGCCCCTCCTCGCCCACCTCCAGGCTCTTAGTCCTCGCTGCCTGACGAGTCCAGTCATTTCGCGTGAAAATGGTGGCTGCCGGTGTTGACTTCACATCGATCTTGCCCTGCGAGGACTCGCCCGGCTTCAGCTGCGCGTATACCTTTTCTGGCGCGCAGTTCGCCTTCGCGTTGTAGTTCGTGCTCCTCTTCTCCCAGCCGGTGTACACGCGCGAGTAGTTGGAGTTGAGGCTCGACACCATTTCGGTCTGGCTCTGGTACTGATTCTGCCTCTGTATGCTTTCGGTGAATGTGGCGAGGTCGTGTATGTTGCTGTAAACTATGTTCTCCTGGCTGGAGACAAGGTCGCGTTTTGCGTCGATCGCCTCCTGCTTCGCCTCCAATAGGTTGTCGGAGCTCTTCGCTCGGCCGAAGTTCTTGTTCGCGGCGTTCTTCTCGGCCTCCTGGGTCTCGGCAAACATGCTGTACACCTTCGAGGTGCGCGCCGCCTTCGACACGTTGCTGCGCGGCGGCTTCTGCGGCTCCAAGCCGGTTATGTACTTCGCCGGGCTCTGCGCGTACACGTCGGCCGTGGGGCGCTGCACGGCCGCTTTGGAGACGTAGCTCCTCTCGTCCACGCCGTTCGCTACTCCGACGCTGATCGAATTGTGCACGTACCTGTCCCCGATATACGGCATCATGTACAGCTCCTCGTTCACGGCGCTGTAGATGTCTGCCTTGTTCGAGTACATGCTGCGCTCCCTCTGCGCCGCCTGCGGCAGCCCGTTCACGTTCGGGTTGTAGCGCAGCTTCGCGTCCTGCACGTTGCAGGTGGGCGCGGAGAGGCTGTGCAGTATGTTCCGGGGGGCGGGGCTGTTGCCGCCGTTGCTGTTGGAGTCGTCCTCGGAGAGCGTGAGGCCCGAGTCCCTGCTGAGGGAGAGCTTCTCCTTGCGCGGCGTGGGGAGTTCCATAGAGTCGAGCGAGATGCCGACCGAGTGGAGGCTGTCGCTCTCCTCCGCGCCGGAGTCGAGGAGCGCGCTCGGCTCAGGGCTGCCGCTGCCGAGCAGGCCGGCGATCTGCGGCCCGAACAGCGCGTCCGCCTTCACTATGAGCAGCTCGACGACCATCGGCACCGCCTTGGGCGCCTTGTCGCAGGGCGCGCCCGGCCACAGCAGGCTCGGCCCCACGCACACGCCCAGGTTCATGGGGCACATGAGGTTGATGTTGGACTTCTTCGCGATCGCTTGCAGCAGGCACACGAAGTACGTGAGCATGTTGTAGTGCGACTTGGGCAGCTTCAGGAGGAGGGAGCGCACCGCGGAGACTTTCTCGGCTTGCGGTAAGCCTGGGATAGAAAAGGACGGCGTTATTTTCTCAAATCAGTGCGGTATAAATATAACTCACAAGGTCACATTCAGTTATCCGACTTTTATATATAACAGTGAGTGAGAAATAAGTTCGGTCAGCCTATCGGCCATTTTCTTTTAACGTGAACAATTTGTTAAAACGGTAATATACGGTGATCCAACTAATCGTCGGTTCGCAAAGAAAAAGTAAAATTGTAATGTAAGCTAGGAAAGATGAAGATAGAAACAATGCTTAAACCTGTCCTGTACGTACCGAGCACTTGGAGCCAGGCGGGGTATAGTTCTGAGAGTAATAGAGGCTGTGGCAGGGCCCGGAAGAACTCCTTGACCAGAGCTGCTAGTAGCAGCACTGGCGCCCGATCCAGCTCTGTACAGCTCTCTGCCCACGGACCGAGAGTATCCAACTGAAATGACATTCGACATTGTGGTTATTAATTTTAAACTTATAAAAAGTTTTCTCTTTCGCAAATTCCAACATTATTAAGAAGATTTAATATATTGTTTTAATAAAGTAAAGAAAAATAAACTACATCTACTTTTGCTATAACACTACGTTCAATTTTACATTAAATTTGCCACAGACGTATTAACGTTTAGTAACGTTCCGAAGCACAATCCCACCTTATCCCTCAGCAATCTCAGCGCTTTCGCGTTAGCGCTTCTCCTGAACACGCCGTGCGTAAGCGGCGCGACCACCCTGAGCCGGCGCAGCGCTTGAAGCAGCGCCGGAGGTGGCGTTCCGTTGCAGAGGCGCGTTAAAGCAACACCGAACAAGCGGCCGCCGCGTCTCAGCAGACGGAGTCCCCTTCCAGGAGTGTTGTTGATGCTAAAACAAAGAATATTTTATTGCTAGTTGAAACCAACCATAGAGGTAAACCATAGAGAAACTAGAATGTTGGTGTTTAATTAATATTGTTTTTATGGACTAATGTCGTCTAATAATGTAGATGACAAATTTGTCGTGAAAATAAATTTAAGTTTATAATATTTTTTTTTACATCAGTGTTCATTGGCTACTATTTTTGTTTTTCTTTTTGCTTAAAGAGAACGTTGTCGTTAATACATTGGATGTTGTCGATGTTATATTATGCATAATACGAAAACCGGAATGAACAGTAGAAAACTTATACTTGATTTTGATCGCAGATTTAACACAAATCTGTATAGGAATAGCAAGATAAGTAAGCACAGATAAAGTTCAAAACTTGTTCGAGATATCTGTACAGGTTTCCAATAGTAAAGTAAACGGGATATCTTGGAAAACAGGTCCGTTTTCCAACCAGTTTCACTTATACGATGTTTAATTTGTAAATCAATTAATTAAAAGATTTTCATCAAAAAGTTTCCCTCGCTGCTATTAACGGTGAATTCGATTCGTATTCTTATAAGGATGTTTCACTTTTTTCTATCGCGTTCATTCGGGTAAATATTATTTATCTACCTCAAAAATTATGTTATGTTATTTATATACGACAACAATGCTAAATCAAAATGACTTAAAAGAATACTAGCGATATTAAAACTGACTCACCTCTTTAGGACTTGATTTTTCTTTCTAAGCTCAAAGACAAGACCGCATGGATTGTTTTTAGCGTTGACGTGCTCCAAATCGAAACCATCTTCGTTTGATAACGTTTGCCTGATTCGAGACATCTGAAAAAGTAAAGTAAAATAAGTTAAATATATAGTTTTCGCCATCGATACAACATAAATTGATCCAAACAAAATTTACAAAGGAAATCGTTTATAAAGTAGATTTACGTTATGATCAATGAGTTAAATCATTCTTTAATGTTTACCTTAATAAGCTTATATGATACTAAGTACCAAAGGCAATAAAAAAGATTTCCACGTTTTATAAGTTAAAAATCGGCCAATTGCGAGTCGAGCGCGTGAAGGGTTCCGTACCATTATCTATAAAAACGGCAAACAAATGATGTTTGTGGTATGGGAGCCCCACTTAGTTAATTTTTATTCTGTTTTATAGTATTTGTTGTTATAGCGGCCACATAAATACATCGTCTGTGAAAATTTCAACTATCCAACTATCACGGTTCATGAGATACGGCCTGATGACAGACGAACAGACAGACAGCGGAGTCTTAGTAATAGGGTCATAAGTAGGTTTTACCCTTTGTGTACGGAACCCTAAAACGTAATCTGGTAGTAATTTTGCAATACGATTAACGAATCCAACGATTTTGGTGTTGACATAACAACATTTCAAAAACGTAAAAAGGAGACCTCTAAAAACGGAGTAAATAGACTCAATTGAAACACATATTATGTTTTACCTGCACTGCGTGCGGCCTTTCGATACCGTGCAGCGGCGTCGGTGGCGCATCCCTAGCGGTCCTCACGTAGAGCGTGAAGTCATTGGGGGAGCCCCATCTCCCCTCGTGCTCGTTATCTCCCTCCCCCTCTGCGTCAGCGCTGTCTTCGTGGCCGACGTTCTGCATCACGTGCAGCGCTTGCCGCACCACACAACGGGCGTTCATGTCCGGATTCACTGATACCGTTTTACACTGGAAACGGGAATTATATTATAAGATCCCGAAAACAATTCATTAAATATTAGCGATATGGATATAAAAAACGAGCTGACGCGATACTCACGAATTCAATGGAGGTTGCCAGATCCTTGTAAAAGATTTGAATATTCGTTGTCTTCGGCTCCGTAGCCAGCTGCGAGTTTAAAGCGTTCTGGATTTTCCTGCAAACGTATAACAATATGTATAACGACAGTTACATTTTTTGTATGTAAGTAGATGCGAGCTACCGTTTCACTTGATTATCACTTAGATAAACGCTTTCCATGGATATTTGGAATACCCGTACGGTTGCAGATGCAATGCCACATTTTAATAAAGAGGGTGGTTACTTCACTCACCAGACGAAACGCAGTTCTACTACTGTGTTTCGTCTGGTGAGTGAGTCTTCTGTGAGGTCACGGTACTTTCCCATTCGCGCAACAGTGAAGACGCGTGGCCCTACCACTGTTAAGTATTATCACAAACTAACAATTAAATTTCAACGTACCTGTACCAAGTGTCTCTGGCTGCTTGCGTGGGATATGTAGCGAGGTAGTTGGCAACCCCTGTGGTGGTCGGCCACCCTATAAGGAAGCCGGTGTCATCGCCGTCGGGCAACGAGAGCCAAACCTCCGCCAGTCTCACGCTCTCTTTCAGCTTGAAGCAGTTGGTTCCGCGGGACTTGCCGACCAGAAGTAGGTCGCTGAATAGGAACAGGTGGCGATCGAGCGGTGGGGACGTGGAGCCCAATGGGCACAACTGTACAGGCGCCTCCATTATGAAGGTGCGCGGTGACAGTGAGTTGTTGGCGTTGACTGTACCGCCGATGTCCAGGCTAGGCCTCTTGCGGAGACTCTTCGATTTCTGCAAAACAAGCCATTACGCGTATAAGAAAATTAGCAAATAATGCTGTAATTTACTTAAGAACGTTAATTATGGGTCAAATAGAAAACCAAAAGTTTAGATTTGTAAGTAGAATTTTATACAGAGTTTATTATTTTTTAACAAAAATATTAAAAAGCAAATTAAAGAACGTGATCGTGCGTAATATGTGTGTGATTTAAATCAATATACCTCAACATAACAATATTTTTGACCGCAAAAAACCTGTAACAATTATTGCTTAATGCAATGTGGCGCGGACATTCAAAGTTTTATCATTAGGCGAGTAAAGCGACATTTTAGTATTTTTTTCTTTAAAAATGCTCGGAACAAATATTTTATGGATCGTAAAACATTATTAGTTACGAAATGATTTAAGAAGCAAACTCATGTAAAGTGATTTTCAGGGACAAATTCTTGTTTACATATCACATCTATAATAACGCGTACATTTATGGCGCCAAAAATAATTGTTTGACGTGGGACATGGATGAACTATTTGTGTATTACGAAAATTAATGGCTTTGCTATTATAGCTAGTTTCAGTTTCTATACATAATAATAACAAGAGTGGTATTGATTTTAGCATTCGGATGTATATTTATCGAAATACATTCATGTTTCGAATATATTTCGATAAACATAAGTGGACTTAAACAGGCTTAAAACATGATGTTGGATAATATTCACCAACATTAATCGTTCAATTAATGTAAACGAACAGCGCAGTTGAAAATCTATGTATCAAAAGAATGTGTTCGTTTATGGTGTATCATCTCCTCGTGTCGACTGACCTGCGCTTGATGAGAGGCCAGCGCGGCGGGGGCGTCCGCGTCGTGGAGGGCGAGGAAGTCGTGAGGGAATAGGTCCTGCACCCGCTCCAGGTCGGAGAGGCGCGCCGCCCGCCGCCTGCCGCAGCCGCTGCCGACGAGACGCTCATATTGCGCGAGACGCTCGATCTGAAACGATGGACGCTTATCAGACCAGCTGAACACGCTTCGCTAGGTTTTTTTTTCCGTTTCCGTTAGAACTTCGGATTAAAAAGTATGCAGAAACACGCCTCATGTTCAATGGCTGTGTTCTCAATGAATATTAAGGCAGTACCACGGCTAAACATACGAAAGTAGTCTTTATATACATATTAAGATTTATAGTTCATTGTGATTAAGTAGCAGAAGCATATGCTGGAATAGTGGACGGCAGGCTAGACCGGCCAGGTACCGAAGCGGCGAAAACAATTTGCGTTTTAAATAAATAGTTGTTTTTTGCTTTCAGTTCGGTAAGTGAAGTAGCCGGAAGGACACTATCTGAAAGGATTCATCTGATACGAGCGGTAATTTCTTCCTATCAAAAAGTCTACAAGTCCTTCATGACCTTATATTCAAACTAAAAAGCAATATTACTATTAATTTCATTATGTCTTTTTCGCATTTGTCTTTACAGAATAAAAGAGTATTATGAATGAAACAGGAAAACGATATATGACTTTTTGTATATACTCACATTGTAGTGTTCCTCGGCTCTTAATAAAAAAAAGAAGATTGATAACATCCGCATATATTTGGTCATCGATTTACCCTATTAATTCGATCCAGATCTAACAAATATGTAGGTAAAAAACCAATGCATACTTAAATAAACGCTTTATCTTATAGTAAACAATACTGTAATATAAGTGCTAGATTGCTATATACGTATAATGTGTTAAATTAACTCTGCAATGCGGAGGTTAGCGGATATGTTATTACGTATAAAATTATGCCACAACGCGGGACGCTCAAGCCATAAGGAGAGCTTAATTGCCCTCTGTCAATATAATAATTGAAGTAACTGTCGGTTACTTACTCTCTAGTCTTCTACAGTTGCAAGTTCTACGTAAGTGTAAATAACCTACACCTTGAACGAAGCTTAAACTCATTCGTAAAGTTATCTTATTGTAATACAATCGTATTCAAAGAGGACGAAGCTAAGCGTTATTAAAAACGAAAGAAACCGCGACGGAAGCAATTTCTATTTTTATTAGGGAGTGTATTATGCTTCATTAAATATAAGCATTGTGAGGCGGCGATACTAATCTAAATTCTAATAGCGTCGTACGTGAACCGAGTCCCGAGGGTGACTTCCCGGGAGGCTCACGAAGCCTCTGTGCTCTCGACCGTGTCGCCGACAACGCTACTGTATAACTGAACTCGGGACCGTGAGACAATCGCCGCGTTTTGTTATTATTCCTCAGGATTGCACGTTTCTATAGGTTTCTGCTAACTGCTAGGTTGCATAGCTAACAGAAAGGATCGGCGTGTGCATATCTGCAGTTGGGATCGAAAGGACGTAATATTTCATACTATGAAGTGTGTAGGAATATGGAATATGGACAAAGCTTAAACAACTAAATTAATTGTACATTATTTTATATACAGGGTGGCTCGTCTAAGTGTATCCATTTTTTTTTATTAAATTCTAGACATAAATAATGTTATACAACAAATGTTAAATATTTAAAATCACTCGTAAGTAATTGAATACATTTATTTGAACTTATCTCAAAAGTGCGTGATTTATACGCAACTCATTTATTTTACGCGCCATCATTCATAACTAACACTCACACTCAAGTTCGTGCACAGTAAAATTTAGGTATTTATGAATGACTACCGCATTGTCAACACGTTCTGGTTTTTAGGGAATAGAATGGAATTTTTTTCGAAAATATAATTTTGATTTTTATTCCAATAAACGATTATACTACCGACTCTGAACCTCCTGTGTAAATTTGGGCACTTCTCAAAAAATCTCCCTGTATAAACTTAAATGTAGATAAACATGTTTATTGAACAGAAAACAGTATTGAAAATATCATTTTCAATAAAAACATCGTTATATTGAAAACTATATAGTTGAATTTATATCAATATAGTTCTTAATATTAAACAATACATATTATTGCACACTTGTCAAGGAACATCTTTGACCTACCATTACGTTTCATTGTTTGAAGAAAGAATAAGCGGTTGATGAGGCGAGAAAAAAGGCGGTAACTGATTGATCAAGTGTGGCTTTCTCGGGCTTTATATGCTACGTTTTTATAAATCAGCGTTGGCAAAATCCAGCCTGTGTCTTAACTTTCACACAACTCTGTACATCTTTACGTGACACAAGATCTTCCTAATTCGAAAAATTAGTTATTCGCAACTGTATTTTATATACCTTTATTCACGGGTTAGTTAGGAACTAGTACACTTATCTACGTGCGTGTAACAATTTTGGGTGGTTACTTACAATCAGAGTGCGGAATTTGAACTCCAATTCGAGCGGTCGTCGACTGTCTGACCAGTAGCTGGGATCATTCAACAACGCCCGCATCTGAGGCATCTACACCGTTAAACGACCTAATAATCGAGCCGATAACATCAACACGATTGTTTGATAAGGATCTAAAACAATCATGACTGTTGTAGAAAAAATTATGATGTTCATTTAGTATTCATTTACTACTGAACGTCATTGAATGATTCTTTTCATAAACTTATATAAGACAAATTTTATGATTTACTTTAGCTCTCAGTAAGTAATATCTCAATGTTATTCTTAAACTTTTAATACTTTCCTATTTATTCCTAAAAAACGGTCATCAATGCGCTCTTGGTGGGAGTAAAAAGATTACTACAGTAATAAGGAAGGCGAAGAAAGGAACTATATTAGTCGAGACGCATAAAACAAAAGCTCTATCTATTCGTTTTAAACAAAAACACTCCACGATTGGGATTAGGCATAACTTTGGCAGACAAAAGGCAAACATTTGTCCATTGTTCGAGATAAACAGCGTCTGCTTTTAGAGCCGGTTAGCTTTGTTTATTCCCTTTCGACGTTCCAGTATACCATTAACAGATCGTATATTGATTGTTTGCCTCCCAATCGACAACTGTGTGCGCCTATTTTTCACAACATCCAACCGAATACCACGAATTTCTAGCAAAGCAAACGGTCACGTAAACGTTATCTTCCAACCTGTTACACGGAACTGCACTTTCTAACTCAAATGTTTACTTCTGAGCGAGTGGGGACAGTATACGTAAGTTTTTAGATAACGAACGAACTGTCCTAATACACAGATAAAGCAAATACGCGCCCAAGTCGCGCGTGCTTTATTGCCCTGTGCTTTTTACAAAATACCTTTATCTTGTTTTCGGTTCACTGTCCAAGGGACACACCCAAAATAAGTAGGTCGTTTTAGATAATGTTAGATCCAGAAATTCCATGTAAAATTCCACAACTACAGAAACAATATAAACTGACAACTCGAAACATTAAATATGTTTTTTAATAATTAAGTTCCATTTAGAAATCGCAGTCTGGATGACGAATAGGCTGTAACAATCACCACAACTTTCACTTTCTTAATATTGGTAGGGGCCCTTCGAAATCTACGATGTCGTTTTAATTTTGTTGACATAATTACAAGACGCTCTCTACCCAAAGGCAGGAAAGTTGATACGTAGTATTAGTACGTCACGTAACTTACGTACACATCTGAGCAAAATACCATTAAGGTGGTATTAGGCAACCAATACTTACTAAATCATTAGAGTCAATTAGAGTGGCAATCTTTTTTTTATTATAATTACAAAAGTAAGCCTTTTAAATCTTGATCAGTGACGCTACAAATTCTGAAGATTAATGTACAAATTAGTAATATTTTTTTCATTAGAAAACATTTTCGGATAAAATGCTTATTTTACAGTTTCAAGATTTTTTTTCGAATTGTTGACAACATTATTTAGAAGAGCTATTTAAAGTCATCATGATGTATAGATATTTGGCATCATGATGTATAGACAAAGTCATTTGGCCCATTACTTGAAGAGTTTAATTTATCGTCTTAAAGGTTATTAACGGTACGTTGTTTAATACACTCGCAAGTTCGCAGAAAGCAATCGGGGCGTGATTCACCAGAGGTCTCAGAAGGCAATTCTCGAAATGGGAACAAGAATGCACCTTCGACGGAATCCAGTTACTTAGATAATATTGTTGTCCGAATAGATTGTAAGTAGTCGCTTGAGTTGTCGGTTTACTTGAAGGGGTTGGTACTTTCATGTTAAGATAATTTTAAATCTTTCTCTTCTAAAAGAAGACGTTTCATTTCTCTTTTCCGATCTCATTTACAACGACAAATGTAAATGAGATCTTGACATTGAGAAACACATCAATTCACCAATTTAACTGCTATGATTGTATTCAAATTGCAGTCGCTTCATTACGAGTACAACTGCTTTATGTCCCTTTCAACGGTTTTACGATGTATCGTTAAAGTATTAAAATATTTAATTCTGTTAAAGAAATAAAAACTTAAATTTCTCTTAAGGATTAAGGCTAATTATTAAGCTAATTTAATATCCCTTATAGGATTAGTATCCTTTAGAAATATCAAAGTCAAAATATCTTTATTCAATATAGGTTTAACTTAAGCTCTTATTGAACGTCAAAAAAATTACCACCGGTTTACTAAATTAGACAAGGAAGAACCGGCAAGAAACCGTGTGGTCTTGTTCTCTTTTTTATTTTTTTTGTAAAGCAATTATACAAACTTATTTAGGTATAAAATCAGCTACAGCCCGGGGCCTTATAAGTGCAGAGCAAGAGTCATTTCCACCCACCCTCATCCTCAATGTATTCTTGGACAATAATAGGCTTAATAGGCCCTTGATATTAGGGTAGCTTTTAAAAATAGTTTGAAATTGAAATTCGTCATGGTATATGCTGCCCCTAGAGGTATGAGTGACATGGCTCCCAAAGGTCAAACACAGCGGGTCGGTGTCGGCGACACATACAACTCCAACTATTGTTGTGGGGTCGAATTAACTGCCGACTCATCTTTAAGTGAAAACTTCTGTCATCCATGCACGATTGTTATTGTTATTTATACTATACTTTCTTTGCTAAAGAATGACGTGCTTCGATCTCGTTTTAGGTGTCCTTTTTATATTGTAGCCTTTTAATACATCTCAAATGGACTGGTGTTCTTACTTCATGTCACATTTACTTCCATTTTATTTACTATGATACAGCGTTATGTAATTGTTATTATATACTTTTGGGCGTAAGATATGTTAATTAACTTTGCTTTTTGCTAATTACTTAGTTGAAGAGTACAAAAGCTCTTTCTATAGTGGTAGGCTTGTTTTTGCCTTTTGAAAACTGGGCCCCGGCCACCCCACTCACCAGACGAAACGCGAAAGTATTACACTTCCACTTTACTGCGGTCTTCTGCGAGGTCGTGGTAACAGGCGAGGCTGCTGCGTGGCCCTACCACCGTAATAAAGTAGGTATAGGTAGTTAGATGGCCGCAGAAGCAAGCAGTGTACGATGAAGAAAGACGGTATTGTATTTTTTTTAAATAGGTAAGTACATTGTTCAAAACAAATGTATTTACAAATTCTCTTACGTGAAAGTTCATAAAATATTGTTTATACTTTATTGACCACAGTGAAAGAAATACTACTACGTCCATATTGGACGTCATTTTATGATTCATAGCACTAACATAATTATGCTTCCATAAAAAAGATAAAAATTATGAAGTAAAGCAGCCTATAGTCCCACTGCTGGGTAAAGGCTTCCACTGTAGAGGGTAGAGGGTATTAGTGAATGGCCCACCACGCGACCCCACTGTTGATTGGTGGAATAATTAAGGTACTAACAAAAAAACATTTCGAAGGTGAAGACATATCACACATCGAAATGTTTTTTGTTAGTACAATTAAATTAATGACTAACAAGAATGTTTAATAAGTGCATGTTATGTTGTAATATTGAAGGCAAATGTTATGTGAAACTCGGAATAAATGCTCGGCTAAAAAGCACGTCGGAAAAACACTTTCAAAATAGTAGAGGCGATCCGATCGCTGGCCGTTTGCCAATTCCTCTTTTAAGTGCGCGTGGCTATTTATCTATCATATTCATCTGTTATCGGCTTGGATCTGCCATCGTTGGCGTCGTCTGATGTTTGATTAATGTTCCTCGAGTTGGAAGCCGTACAGGGCGAAAATAGACAACAATGACGATCTGGTTGCTATTTTCGTGGATTACCTGTGCATACTTTTAGGCTGTGCCACCCGCTATTTATGTAATTGGTCATATGACGAGTTTGAGATAAGCGTGTGGTCTATAATAAAAAAAGGCGCTAGGGAAAGGTACCGTCATAAAACAATATCGAGGAGTAATTACGGAGCAGCGGTAATAAATCAAAAAGAAAGCAGCGCAGTCAACAGAAGAAGATATCAAGCGTGGAATTTTCGATTGAGCATGATGTAGGGCTGCGTCGGCTGTAGTGCATTCTGGGCCGAATGTCGGGAGTTTGCGGTCATCGCCCTTATTACGCACCCCTCGCCCCGTCACAATGCCTGCTCGTCTCGTAATGGATGATGTGGACGAGATCAAAACTTAATCGCGTTATTAAAACCGCTCTGGAAATTCCAAAGCTTAAAGCTTTCTCACAAATAAAAGATTATTGAAACAATCAGGTTCATTTGTAGTTGGGAGACTTGGATGCGACCTGCTCAAGATAGGAAAATGACACAAGAGGGAGGAAGCCTATGAACAGTAATGGACTTATACGGGCTGGTGATGATGATGATTATTTAGAGTTTTTATGTTATTAAAAAATGTATTTTATTGTTTCTCACGCGTAACATCATCATATGTATATGAAGGATCTTTCGATACAAGAATATCATAGTCATTAATTAAATATTTTACACATTGCTTTTGAAAGCTCTTAGCCCCTTTAACTTTTTTATTAATACGTGTTGCCTGCACACTAATAAACCACAACTATGCATCGTTTTGCTGTAAGTAATGAGCTTGGCATAGATTAATACGTTTCGGTGCAGACAAATGTATTGCTATTACACAAATAGATCGCCCTATTAATATTCATTGATCCATTTAAATAAAGGTGATGTTAACTACCAATGAACGGAGCGATCCTACCAGCATAAATAATCTATATATCTATAAGCACATAAAATCATAATAAATAGATGACAGCTCAATATATACGATTACCTACAAAGTTTTAGCAATATTACTGAAATTGGAAATACTTAAGAGAATGGCTTGTAATTATTTCGCCATCTTCGTTTTACAAACAGTGCAAAAGTAGCGAATGAGCGATGGCGCTCTTTGCTTCCTGGTTGCGTTAATTTTTCAAACCGTTCGAACGTACCGTAGAACAAGGCGCTTCACATACTATGTAATAGCCGGTAACGTGTTAATTACAAGCCGTGTTACTGGCCATTTGTTGAACAGACCTAAAATCGAGCGTCCGTAAATGTGATTACTTCATACACGAGGGAAATTCAACCTATTTACGGGCAAGTTTCTTAACGATTGTGACTATCTCCTTATATAACGAAGTATTCTTTGAGAATAATTCATTTAGACGTACTAGTGTGGAAAACTGCGACCTGAAAGATCTATTGCAGCCTTAATTTCGGAGACATTACACCTTATTGGAGAATAACATTATCCTGTGTTGTGACGACATTTTGATACATAAATTTCACGTGGACACCCAGATCCAAACAATTATAGGTCGTTCAAACAAATAAAAAAAAAAATAGTTGTCTCGTGTTGCAATCGAACCCACGACCCCCGGCGCGGAAGCCAGTACTTTGTTACTACACCAAGGAGTCATCAAAATGAGTTTTAACATTTTATCCGTAAAGAGATAGATAATAGGTGTCAATTACGACGCTATCAAAACTCAAACCGATAAGGCCGTTCAGTTCACCGCCTGTGTACACCCTTTGGTAATCACCAGTTAAACGGACACACATACACTATTGCCAAACAATTAAATGGCAAGCGTAAAGAATAAGCATCATTACATGTGAACAAAATAGAAAATCCGAGAATATGCCTTTTGAGCGACGGCGAATCGAATTGTGGTTATGTAACTTTTATGTTAACAATGGACCGGGTGTCAATCACGCGTTGGAGACGATTTTTTAAATAAGTCCACGGGAGAAAGTATACGCTACGTCGGGCACGTAATACGGGCTGGGTGGTTTTAAATCATCTGCCTATAGTTGATCTTCCTCCATTCAAGTCGGCTGAGCATCAAGCTGCCAGAGAGGAGGAGACGAGACGGTGTGCACCTCTCGTAACCGAGATGCGCGCACAATCGTCTAATTTAAAAGGTGTCTAAACGCCGATAAGCCGTTTCCACGTTTCACAATCATTAACGAGCGTTAATTCTAATACATTAATGCACTGCAGCTTTTCGTGTTTCGTAATGCGCGCGTCAGTTTCAAAATCATCGGACTTAAAAGTTATCAAAATAGATAGATGTTGGTTTCATTACGCAATAATCGCGTTATTAAGGTGGTATAAGTTTACGAAATAAATTATCACTCGTAAAGTATGTATGAGAGTGATATTATTTACATATTTTAATACCGTTAAATATTTGATCGGATTTGCGTCAACTTATAAAATATTGGGTGCGATTGGCCGTTGCACCTATCACGTACTAAATACATACCTGTCAGATGCTAGTAATTTAAGAAATTTATGTAAGTTATGATAAAAATGTCTCTGTTCTACCTAGGGTTAGCTGCAATATAGCATTAAGCTCGCCTTTGTACAATTTTTAGTGCAATAAAGATTAAATAAATAAAAATAACGAATATAATGGTATTGGTAGCAAATGCGCGTATTGAACTTCTAGAAGTAATAGCGACGTTGTGAGTTTTGTTTTGGATTAGTTAATGTAAGGATGTGGAAGGATAGTAAGGAAGGCAAGCCAGTACAGGTGTGAATAAACTGTTACAGCTGTTATAAAAAAATGGAATAAATATTTATAAATAATTACGGTTACAACAATTATGTTGAATAGTAGAATATTATTCAATAAATTGCTAAAAATGCCCGTAAATAGAAGTGAGTAAGACAAGGTTTTGGCTACATATAAAAATCCTGCTTCCACATTTGTATCTGATATAATTATAACCAGGAATATTACCATATACCACCACGAAAGTAATGTACTACAAGTTTTACGGCATTATGTCGCAAACGCGTAAACAGTTAACCACGCGGTTGTAAAAAGACGGTAAACTATCGATAACCCACCGGTTTCCCGCTTTCTCCTTGCGCAACAGAACTTTTTTTTGTTTTTACATCATCAACTGACAGACTGGCACACATAATATGATCTCGAATCTGAAGAGGTCGATCCAAAGATCTACAAACTTGTAGCTGTTAGTCAGAATCTAGTTTTCTCGTTTTCATTGCAAAGTCGGCACCCTCACAATTTACGTGGCGGAAAACTGCTGTTGCACGAATGGGCTGAACAGTCAAGTGAAGTTCCAGGCTATTATAAGACCAGCGTGAAATGGAAGTGTTATAATATTGTTTTTCCTTGTTAATGAGATAACGAGGGCTCTACAATACATCGGCAACGCAACGGCTGTTTTAGATATACATGGCCGGCGGTAGTTGCTGGTCCAACTTGATACAGCGTTTATGATATTAATGAAAACCTCAATTTTTTAAATATGATAATAAAATTTTTAGAAACAATACACTGGAAATACCTTCATTTTAAATTTCGTTTAAAATCACGCAGCCGCCGGGCCGTAAAACACATAAAAAATTGTAAATCAGTAACGTACAAGCGATTAGGTTAATTAGGTTAATTGCTCAACCTTTATGGCAGAATATGCAAGCTTGATTATTGAGTTAAAAAGCATTGGTTGTGGATCTTACATACAAGTATATATGGACATATATACCTTAAAGGTGCAATATGCCTACACTTTTTAAAATTAGGCTTTAATCATATTATTCACGTAAACAAACGGGAAAGCGTCGAAACGATTTTTGAGGAAGTTAATTCTGAACGTTGCACGCGAATCATGAAACCGATGACCCACATTTCACGGTTGCGTAAAAAAAAAAGTTATCGCAAAAGCTAAAACTCGCCTCGCATTAGTCGGCGGATGATAAATGGCCGCTAGGCATTGCATCGTAGGACGTGCAAAGTTTGCTCGTAGATTAACAGAATGTTTTCTCTTTGTTTTCCAAAGATCTTTAACTCATTTTCTAAATTTAACTACACGTAAACAATTACAATTCAATATTGCAAGTTAGGTAAATAAGACAATACTTCCATTCAAATCAAAGTTATACGCAATTTAATGGTCTCATGCCCAAAAGATTTTCCTGAGAACACGATGCCCGGAACTTTATACTGAAGCCGAATTCCCTAATTGACATCGAACAAATTAGTTTACCCAAATTATCCCGAATAATGGTTTTGGACGACCGTGTTTTTATGTACATTTTCGACCGTAGTCCAATTTAGTCTACTGATATAAAAAAGCAGGTGATGTTTTACGGAATATACTAATTTTATATTTTAGATACAATTCCGATCTATTAAAATTAAAACAGCCGTAATTTCCTCCTAGTAACTTCTTGCACTTATTACTCGTACATAGCCGGTGAGTGGCGAGAGGCCCAATATTTAATAGGAATTATGGACATGAGAGCCTGTATGTTTAAAAATATATAAATACATAAAGTCAGATGTATTTATATATTTTTGGACATACAAGCACCTTTTATTAATTTTAACCTTTCCTAAGCCCGTAGAGTTCTGAGATTATACTGGATTTCTTCTTAATGCAGTTATTTGAAGCCATTAACTCAAGTCGTTCATTTCGAATTGACTGTCACGAACGGTGACTTAAAATTAAGTTAAAAAAATACTCAGATCCATAACTTCGAAATACATTATTACTCATTAAAGCGGGTAATATCGAAGTACTAAGATGTACACACATTAGGTTAATGGTTATAATTTTTTTAATAACATCGCTACGTTTAACATGAATTGATTTAAGAACGTATATGTTCTACTACGAGTATAAGTTAGCTTTATTGCTTTGTATAATATCTTATAATAGTATCTACTTCAAGTTTCATTCTCGTTTGGTCTCGGGAAGTTTTACGTGGAAATGCTATAGTAATGGAGTAAACTAATGAAGAAAATGTTATTTTCAGGACAAGATCTTATTATAAAATGAGCGATAATTACATGTAAAATGTTTTTATTGCGGGTGTATTGCGTCGTAACTGCAACTCTTTTGTTCTGTGGATGATAAAATAATGGGCTGTAGTAATTGATCACTTCCTTCTCATGTTTCGTGTTGTTAATGGTATTGACCAAGTTTCTTATGGCCGGTTATGACAAATAGATCCGGAACTATTATCTGTGGGTCACACAGATACTTGTCCCATGTGGGTATCGAACCCACGACCCCCGCACCAAAGCCAATTGCCTAGAAACTGTGCCACCGAGTGGTCACTTAACATCAGTAAACAGCAGATGAAATGCCTGCTCGATTAACACCTCCTTCAATAACAAAATCTGCAATGACTTGGGATATTAACTTCACTTTAACCGCGTTTGAGCACTTTATGTGAGAGCTGATAAAAGTAAACGTCATCTATGCCCATTAAGCTCTTGGGATATCCTCTCTGGTGGCCCCGGCCGCAGTAACAACTAAAAATCACTCTTAGTCACGTTCTTCTTATGTAAACATTCCTAAGTTGTGAGCTGGTAATGTATCGGCGTGTTTTGATTCTTTAAAATATTCTATTAGAGTTACTTCGGTTTATGGTGACAAATTGCCGTTGGCTATTGAATCAGAGATTACCGACTGAGAATACTATAAACACTTTGGTCTCGACAGGAGATCAACAAATAATTGCCGAACGTGACCACTGGAAGGTCGAACACAATTGTCTAACAATGTCTTCAAATTATTTTTGCTTTGAGTATTTTTACATATTGATTTAAGATATTGCCAGTGCTAATATCGTTACAAAGTATTTCTACATTCTCATCCAAAAAGCGTTCTTTATCTTATATAAAATAACGATAAGCTAAAACATGTTTTAAAAAAACCGACAACAACATTTTATAAACAAATAGTTCGGTTTTATAGTAATCGCCGTGAAAACAGAGAGCTACGAAGCGTTCTTCTCAGTACAAGTGTAAGTAAACGTTACGTGCGCCGCATTTCCAGAGTGTTTCGCTTAATGATGCTTCCTATGACGATTTTAATAGAATTAGCATTGGTGGGAACTGTCGATACACAATGACGCCGCTTCTATTAGAACCCGTCGATCGCTACGCCGAGGAACGAGGTTCCGTGAACCCTGAACAATGGTGGGTAATTTTGAAATATCTTCTTATAACACGCCATACGTGATGCAAGACCTTCGAAGATACGCACCACGAGTTGGCAACGCTTATTATGCATACAAGGCAATAGGTTATTTGAAAATTTAATATCGTACCCGGCACGCATTTTAAGAAGTACATTCAATCGCATTTTTATGGAGTTATATGATTGTGCATTAGGAATGCGTAATATGGTTGCTCTTTAAGGCGATTATATGTTTATCGAGGCGATTCAGTTGGAGTCTAGATTTATTTTCAAAGTACATATGGCGCTGAAGTGGGAAAATATGTCTAGAAGAAAGGATTTGCAATGACCCTTACTACATTCCGTTAACAAATTGTCCCATAAAATTTAGCAAAATAAAAAACAATATTTCGAGTTTCGAAAATAAGCTGTTCTATGATGAACATCATGAAATATTTATGACGAGCGAACTTTAAATTGGACCGCAAGGTGTACGGAGCTTGTATTGCTGGATAAACGAAGCAATTAAATACAAAACAATACCCGACTAAACGTCATTCCAGCGAGACGCGCGTTCTAAAATAGAACAGTCGGTGAAATATCCTGATATATTTAGAGTAGATACGAGCTCTCCGCGCAACTGGATCAGCGACAAAAAATCTACAAATGCGCACGGACCACATGCATCTCTACAATAGGCATCTGCCGGCATAGGGCCGTTCAAAAATTTGCTCAATTGTTATAATATGGCCCCAGCCAGTTAATATTGGTTGTTTTTATAGCATTGTCTCAGCTCGACCAGTACAACCTTTGCGTCTCCTTCGCCGTCTGCTCAATTCCATTCGTCTACGACAGACGTCATTACAATTATTTTTTTCTCATCGAGCCATAATTCTATATTCGCAACGCAGCTTCTACTCGCAGGTGGTCACCGGACGTAAGCCTACACACGCATAGACACTAACAAGCTTTGTAAACAAGCTGCTACGGTGGTTATAATAAACGAACTCTTTATAAATAATTCTAGAATATTCCGTACGGGCCCCTTTAACGTCATAGTTGCTTTCTACGTTCGATGTTAATGCAATGTGAATATAACATTTTGTGTGTAATTGAGTTTAAATAAGGTTATAATTTAAAGATTGATTGATTCTTTATTTTTTAAATAGCGGTTGCATTCGTCATGAGGTTACATATTATGGAGTTTTATTTTTGGTGTAATTGTTGTTTATCGGGGTATATTAGATAAAAGTAGTTCTTATCTATATTCTATCGAAGGTATGTCCGGAGTTTATTGTATCAACACAAAGCTTTAGAATGGACCTCACCCAAAGTACAACAATTCCTCCGGGAGTAGAATTCATTAACTGTGATTCATCCGACAAAAAGTTTATCTTGAAAATGATCAACAATTGAATAACTGAGATTCCCAATAAGATACGGCGTTACTTCGACCATGCAAATGAATGTTAAAAGTCTTTCTTTAGATGATGCATAAACTAATTTCTCATATTTCATTCTTAGCTTCATTGTAATCCTGATTAGTAATGAATTAATTCACAAGTCCATGTTTTTATGTTTTGTTTATTCCTTATATTTCTTTTTATAGCTACTAATGAGCGTGTCACCGTAAGTTTTTCATAAATTGGAGGCAGCGGTTTTCGCAAAAAGAAAGCGGACACCTTACCTACTGGTGTATCTAATGTACTGTACCTACGCTGCGAAACGCGATGAAATTAGTATTCAACTTTAAGTAACTATAACAATCTATTCCTATCATCTAAACTTAATCTGAAAAGCCATATTTTGATTACTGCAGTAGTTTTATTGAAAAACGTTAATAAGCGGCATGATTACCAAATGAAACAAATTGCACTCGATGTATAAAAGTATTAATTGCTGTCAAGACATCAAAAAACAAAAGTAATTATACATTAAAAAATATATTGTCTGTATTGAACAAAATTACAAGCAAGGCCGCAGTCACGTAATTATAATGCAAGCTAAAATCTGGTTTATAGGCTCTCCGTGCCGTACTTAGCTTTACGGTTTACCAATCCGTCAAAAATATGATACTTCCAATTCGAAATCAACGTGCGGAATAATTACGGAACAATAATTATGAAAGTGAATTCAATCTATGAAATCGGGGGCCGAAACAGCCGCTGTCGAATGTTGTTACGCAACACAAGGTAAAGTTCCAAATTGGGCTACGACACGCTCACAAATTAACGAGTTGTAGCAACTAGTAGATCTGGTTTCTGTGTATTTCTTTGGGCAGAAAGCATATTTTGAGTTTTATAATCATATTTCATATTAAAATGTCTTTTACTTAATAATAATTGAAATTTGTATCACCATGTATTATAGAATTGGTCAACGACTAAGGATCATACATACATCATTAAATATAATTTCGTATCAACTTTTTCCGTCAAAGCAATAGCGATTTTTTCAACAAACTTAGGCAATTCGTTACATAAAACATTAGTCAACCGACGCAGACGTTCGAGATAACCTCTCTGACCAAGTTATGAAAAATTGACTGTCGTCAGAAGATTTTATCGGCACGCAGTTAGTTATGGCGGAGTATTTTTTATACTTGTCCCCTGGACACAATCGCTACGTCAATTTAGAGTACAGAGATAGCCGGTTCTCGTATTCATAACGAGGAGGTAGTCATACAGTCATACGATACCGTCCGGCGTAGACCCATTAAGCCACTAGGTACTCGGCTCATATAAGGTTATTATATCTCTAAGGCTCTTGTGTCCGTTACCGATAGAGCTAATAGAATGTTCGCTTAATGTGTTTTGTGCACATCGCGGGGATTATCAGCGAGCCTTAGAATTACATCGCGCTGTACACCTACGTGTTTGACGAGTCAGATGACAGTTATGCGAATCGCCTCAGTTATGCGGGTATCTAATGATGTCCATCGCGAGTCAAGACGTATGTAAACGCGAACACTGTTTAAAACATACAGCCACTGTGCACAGCGATGAAAATGCATGCAGCCCAAGTACTTCGCATTCAACGCAATGCGTTCGATGCGTACGCTCACGATTTCAACTCACGAAGCCGATCCCACCGGAATTATAATCGCCATTATTAAACGGAATCCAATCCTGGGTGTTGTGTGTAAGCGTGAAAATAAAAACACAACGAGTACACAAGAACTCATTCCATTAAAATAGGTGAAAAGCGGCTAAAATCACCGAAGCCGGTCCGGTTAATTATTTAATGGCGCGATTTGTTTGTAGGGACGTCACGGATCCTAGTACGAGGCCGGGGGCGAAACGATAAAAAAAAATAGCGTAATGATAGCTCGCTAGTTCTCCGCGAGGACTTACATGCATGATGGACAGCGGTGTTCACTGGCACGAGGGCATCACTGATACACTTGTTTGTTTACTAATGTGGCAGGGTCCGGTGCACGCGCGAGCGGTGCGTACGCGCGCGCTCCTCGGTCAGGACTGGCGGAGAGAAGCGCTCGCGCAGCCCGCAGCGGCGGCACGCGCCTTGCGTTTTCGACGCGGCCACCACAATTCGCGTACCCGATACAATGCGCACGGTTGCACTCAATTAAAGTATATACATGTACAGTGCAATCAAAGGATCTGTCGATATGACGTAATTATTCCGCTTGTTTATTGAATCAAAGGTATTCGCTGACAGATTTTGATATCAGCTCGCTACTGGCCGAGATAAGGAAAATCTTTTGAAGTTTATACTTCTTAGGAGAGTAAAAATTTTACGATGCGCGCGCACACCGACAGCCAAAAAGCGACATGATGAAGTTGGTTGCAAAAGCGAATAACTTGACGGTATTACTATAGCAACCAATAAAACTTTTTGACTTAAATTTCCATGAATGCCAAAATTTAAAAGAGTGCAACATTTTGTCGGCGCTGAGGGAATCGAACCCACGTCTTCGGGATTCGCGCCCTGACGCTTTAGCCACTAAGCTAAACGAATGATTGCGACACAGAGAAAAATTTGGATGCGCTAAGCATTGCTTCAATTGCTGAAAAACAATGTAGATAAAAGACATTAAGATTTCAGGACGCGAATCCCGAACACGTGGGTTCGATTCCCACTTTGCATACTTTTTTCTACAAATTTTAACGTTTAGTATTAAGTGCTGCGATTAACACTATAAAAATTAAAATTTCTATAACTGTTATCAATTTGATCTCTATTGCACAAACAAATTGTACTGGCACAGAGGATAAAATTTTTAATTATTTTTCTTTTATTACGCTAAAGAAGTTTAACTTCTTAGGTGCGCACATTAGTGCATGAACGTTTTCCTGTATGTATTATACAATGTATTATACTTATAAACTTTCCTCTTGAGTCACTCTATCTAGCAAAAAAAACCGCATCAACGTATTTTCAAAGATCAATGAATACATAAGTACAGACAGACAGCGGGACGACTTTGTTGTATACTATGTATATTGTTATATGTTATATTGTTGTATAGTGAGGTTTATAAAATTATTAAATACTATTGAAAAATTAATAAATAGCGGATTTTTAAAGCTTTGACGTTAAACATTTTTTTCTAACCTTATCGTTAGAAAAAAATTATGTCTTGAATAAAATTAATGTCATAAATATATTATTCTACAATTAAGATACAATCTAACACGGTCGAATTTGTGAAAGTATTTTAAAATACTGATATAAAGTAAAATTATAATCGCATAAGCCGACATAAAACTTCCCGAGGAACGCCTTTAAGACAGCTAAATAGTTTTTAAAATAACTGACTCAATTTAAAACAACATTGTAATGGCTGAATAGCAGAAAACGGGTCCCGCATAGCTCCGTTGGCTTACGGAAAATGGCGTCAATTAAAAGTCTTGCTATTCTTGACGGCAAAATTTATTCCATCTGCTCTCTTATATTTATTTGATTGGCCATTCTCCGTATAAGTACCGCACATTGTGAGCTGTCGCCGGCAACGATGTAATAAATTAACCTTTGTTACATTAGTTATTCAGTTTAATATAAGTAGTATCAGTTTCATTAAATATTATACACTCATTATCGGTCGTTAAAAAAACATAATGATATAGATAATATCCCAGTTTTAGTATTAATATGTAACAACTATAATGGACATAGAATTCATGTAACTAAAGGGCATTATTTTGCATAAAAATTAATGACAGATGTAGGCCTGAATTTTTTCGGTCCCTTATTTCTGTAACGGGACATTATGCGTTCCGATCTTAGATATTACATCTGACCGTTACATCACGGTTGTACGAGGTCCTTTACAACTGACAATGCGTTCATAAATCATTCGTGTAATACATCAACAATGCGAGAGGTATATCATGATCGCGAATGATTCGTGATCGGAGATTGTTGCTGAGCGGGACACGCGAGCGAGTATTGCACGCGGTACTGGGAAGTGGAGTATGTCACGTGTCCTATCAATCAAACACGCTAAGGAGGGCCCGTCACGCTACCCGTACCGATTACACCACAATCGGCCCAGCAGAGATCGGATACCACCGACGGAAGCGACAATCGCATTCATTTGCACGATCGGCCGATACCGAAATCACGAGAGACAGAACTGTACCCGCGTCCAATTTACATAATGCGGATTGTCTTTAATCTCGCTGGTGACTTGCTCGGTGACGAAACTTCCGACAGCTTGCGACATAAATACATATTCGCCTATTCGGGTGTCGAACGTTGGATAACATATTGCGTAACGAGCTTATTAATACGCTTATAGGTCGTATGCCTAATATCGACAATCGGAGAGCGACACATTTGAAGCTAGAGTTATGAAGAACAATTGCATCTAGCCGCAGCGTACATCTACAGGCTTCATAGCAAAATATACAACGTCCTTTCTTTTCGGATCGACCTAAATAAACAAATCGAAACAGCGAAGCTGTTGTTTCATCGGTAGAGTAACCTGAATTCATCGACCACGACTGTGTCCGATTGAATTAAACCAGTTAAGTTATATCATTGGCCGTCTGTCGTCAGTAATTTGGTTACCGTCTCGTCACGGCGCGCATTAAAATGCCATCGCCCAATGTGAAAGATAAATCTGCGATAATTACAAATTGTAATGCAGCTGCTGTACACATAATTATGATAAGTTTGTTATGTTAAACTTCTTCATCGGTCAGTGATTTTATACCCAATTTTGAACTATAAATCTTGAAATTACAAAGTGTTACAGTATTCCGTGTCGACAGCAAACTGAAACGGCTTCATTGATCACTAGTAAATAAAAGGTGCTCTCGATTGATTGAGAACAAATAAACAATTCGACGATAAAACAAACGCGAGCCTACAATATGGATGAGCCGCGCCCGTAGGAGTCTTCGGAATCATAATGCTATTGTATCAAGTTAGTAAACTTCGAGACATTTCACCAACGTCTCTATTAAAATTCAATACGGGTCGACGGCAGGGCGCGTTGGCGCTCGAACATATGTCATAACCGAAGCGGTCGGGCGAAGTGGGCGCGTAGGCGCTGGGTGCTTGTTAAACACGCTGAATCCACGATCGAGCATTAATGCAAATCTGCCGCATTAGCATTTGACACCCCTGGCTTCCTATTCAGACGTACGGCCGCGGCGAAACGCTTGCTAAGGCCGTTGTGGGCGATTTTTTGGGTCACGGCGGCGCACTGAGCACGCGTAATTCTAGACCGAACGCGTCGTCATTTCAAAATGTCTAGTTATAACACGTACTCATGGCAGTTTAAGTAAATAGAGAAGAAAAATATGACTAGATGTTTGATGCGAAACAATTGCGAGCTTTCGTGCAAACATATAAGCAAAAAAACCTATTTTTATTTGCTAAAAAGTTACCATAAAAGCTAGAAATAAATAAAACCCAAATATATATTGAAATATGTAATGAAACATGATGCGGATTGTCAGAAAATTACAAGTCTTTACGTTAACAAGGCTGATATGATAAAAAACTCAAGAGACCGCACGGTCGTAGAAGGCATACTAGAACAGTAAAAAGTACAAAAACGATTAGATTAACGGCCGACTAATTTGTAAGAATTTATCCAATTTTCCAATTGTTATCCATTATACCAATGAGCCTACTCTACCTACAAACGGTTTGCGTGATGCGCATGGAACGATCCGCACGCGATTATCGACAGTTCAGACTTCACCAAAATCGACTACATTGAAATGTATGTACTCATTTGATTCTACCGTTTTCTTGACATTTTCATTCACCCGTCCCATTGTTTATTGGCGTTCCATTCAACTCGATCCAATCTTTGGCGTGTATTCTAGTGACCCCGTTTCTCGTTTCGCGACGAATCTTTTGTGCGCCGAAACGCAAACGCGGGAGGTAGATACTTATGTGTATGTACAAATCGACTTTTGTTCATGCGAATGAATGCCGGGCGACGAATGAAAATAGCGTGGCACCGAGATTAATTCGAGATTATTCGTTATTATACTCTTTTGTTTCTGTAAGAGAGTTTTTATATCGTCCCACTATCTGTGACCTTTTGTTTCGGCGACTCGCCGGGCCTTCCGGCTTCAAATCAAATAATATAGCGATGAAAGCTCGGATAAAAATATGAAATCAGCTCATGCACACGTCGCGATTGTTAGATACCTTTTGTTATTTGGCGTTCCTTAAATGGCTGTCAGAAGTATAGAACTTTTTCTACAACTGTTTGTTATTGCAGCATCACAGAATTAATGATAGAAATTCTAGCCTTATGAATTGAACTGTACAATAAAAGGAATCCAAAGTGAATACAAACTCGCTTGGGGTAAATCGAAGACAATTTGTATCCTTAAAGGTAGACTGTTGTGCTAGGGAGCTATTCAGAAAGCAGATAGTATACAGGATACGAAATTTCTTTGATTAACAGCATATTTATACGGTATTATTTCCTCTATTTCGGAGTTTCGTTAGGAAAGTATTGAATACAAATGGGGTTATAAATGTGGCGACAAAAAGAATTCGATAGAGCTTAGGGATTATATTAAAGCGCGTTCGCCCTCATCGGCATGCAGAGTAGATGCGTGGTCGCATTAGCGATGCGTGCGTGGTAGCGGTGCCGCGGGAGTACTGTCGATTGTTTACTACACACTAGAACTCTTAACGATCGTCAAGGGTGCTTTTCAATTAAAAATATGCCCTATTGCCAACGTCTTAAAGGACCGCACGCATCTTATGGTGTGCCTTTACCCTCCGTGACCACACGGGTCGACACCGATATGACCATTTCAGGAGTTTCGTCACGACCTCGCGCGGCCGAGGACGCCACTTTAGAAGGGGATATCGACGTTGACCGATGGTTATGACGCTGGAATAACTATGAATAGAGTAATTAAGTCATGGATGCACAAAGCGAATGAGTTTAAAGGAGGAATTATTAACGGCAATAAACCAATACAAGAGAGCCCGCCTCTGTTTTAGTACCTCACCGTTTGCTCTGACATAATGTCGTGAATAGAAAGGAGATCGTGGCGTATCGATTAATTGACAGCTTTATCGACGCTCCTCGTGTTTTATGATTATAAAATAGTATCATAAACACACTGCGTCTTATATAAG